CTGGCTCCCTACTTGGGAGAGAGTCTGATTTAGAGGCAGAGGTGGGGTGGTGGCTGAAGTGGTGAGAGTTTGCATTTCTGAAAGCTTCTAGATGGTTCTGATGCTAATCTAGGCAATCCTTTGCCTGAGGCCTGATTTATAGCAAGGCTCAATGACAGCGACCTCATTACCTCCCTGGTCAGCTCTTCCCCTTTAGAGAGCTTTCTCCATTTGAGAAAGTGAAGATCTTCTTCGTTTTGATTGTCAGCCATTGGATTGAGTTTGGTACTCTGGGCTCATACAAATTGTCCACAGAAACACCAGGCAGGTAAGAATTTGAGCTTAAGCTATTCAAAAGCAGTGACTTCCCTTGGGGACTGAGGGTACTTGCCAAGACCAATGGACTGTCCATTGCTTCCCTGATCCTGTGCTCAAAGTTGTTCTAAGTCTGGCTTCTCATGGCCAGATACGCATTGGAAGTTGAAATTGAAATGCATTGGAAGTTGAGAGCTTACAGGCCTGGTGGGGGGTGGGGGAGATGACAGACTCCATGTGTCCCTTCTCTGTTCCCAGTGTGCATACAAGGGCATAAGTGAACACGAGTGAGTAGTTGGCCAAGTATCCAAGAGCCTCTCTTTTGACACAAGGTCTCAGACAGCTGAACTCAAAATTGCCATTGATTCTGAAACTTTCAACAAGACTCAGATGGTTTAGCATTGAACACATGTGCGTGGACAAAACAAGCCGTCCCTGTCTCGATGCTTGACTGTAGTCAGACTCAGCTCACTCATGTCCTGATGTATTCCTTGGGGAAACTGAATCTACGTTGGAACCTCAGGCATGGCCAATGCCGGCCACCTCTAGGCTCCATGGGAGATTCCCTGGAGTAAGAACTCAGGATGTTGGTTTTTTGATGGGGAAGTGTAGGCTTGCTTGTTCTGATGGGCTGGGCCAACTGTAGACACAAGTTGTAGGAGACCATGGCAGTTAGGACCCATCACAACATCAGAATAATGTGTGAGGGCTCTTCCTTGTGCCTGGAGCCAAGTACTTAGACTCATTTGTCCCATTCTGGGAGAAGGAACACAAAATCAGTGTAAGGCCACCCAGATGCAACAGCTTCAATTTCCTGGCCATGCTTCTCTCCTCATTTATTATGCAATTTGTTCCTGTCCCCCCAAAGAAAACAGAAGTCAAAAGCTCACATTCACAAAACCTTGACAGAACAAGCGAGTGATGGAGAAACAACCAAATGGCATGAAACAGAAGAGCTTCCTCTGATTGCCTCTGACCCCAGAAGACACGACCACCACTGATGTGTTTACTCCCATTTGACTCATGTGTTCATTCATTGACTTGCTTGTGCTTTCATTCATTCTTTGACTAACTTAGTCATCCACTAGCCCTCTGATTTATCACTCACCCACTCACCCACTTATCCATTCATCCATTCATCCACTCAACCATCCACACACCTAATCATCCATCCGTCCATTTAGCTATTTGCCCAGCCTTACATCCAACTATTCAACCATGCACTCACCCATCCATCCATCCATCTACCTAATAATCTGGCCACTCATCTATGCAACTGTCCAATCATTATCCAATAAGCATTTTTTTGAGGACCCATGTATCCCAGGTACTCAGGATACAAGTTTGAAAGATACAGGATTTTGCTTCTAAGGGGCTCATGGTTTAGTAGGAAAAACAAGCAAAAAAGGAAGGTAAATCCTAGTCTTTAAACACAGGTGTAAAAAGCATGACTTTATTTTCTATAGCTCCATTTTTGTTTCGAGCCCATGTCTTTTTAGGCTGGCAAAGAACTTTCCCCTCAGTCATGAGTCAAGGATTCCATTTTCTTCTTTGGCGTATGTGAAGATTCTTGGGGCTGTGTAGTGCCAGGGCTTTGCAGTGAGGAGCCATGTGGCTCTTATGTTATATTTCTGCTCATGTGTCAGCTGAACCTTTCTTGGGTCTGACCGCCCTGACCTGATTTTCTGTACGGGGCACAGTCTTATCTCTGCAAGGCTGCCCAAGGCTGCATCTCCCTACAGCAGTGCTTTCTCATCTTGGCTCCCATTTAGAGCACCTCAGAGCCCTTAAAAAACACTGAAGTAAGACCAATCAAATTAGAAATTAATTTGACCAATTAAATTAGAAATGACAAGAACAGGATCTGAGCTTGGACATTTTTATCTATACAGTATAACTTGCCCAGAACGGTCTAACGTGTAGTCAAGGGTGGGAAGGAAGCACTAGGAATCCCACACAGCCCTCTCCTTCCCCGGCCCCTCCTTTTCTTCTCCACTCCTCCAGCTCAGGCAAGGGACAGGGTGTCTCTTTTTTACTCCAGGGATAATCTCTTTCCTTTTGTGTTTTGGAAGAAGATACTTCTTCTGTGTCTTAAATTTGTTCCTACTAAAATAAAGAATGGCCAGAGATTTCGCTTTCTGTCCAGACGTATTCCTTCTTGGGCAGTGCATTTAGGAACAGTTGCTTGAATGAGGATGAAGGAAAAAGAGGGTGAGGCAAAGGACAGGGAGAGGGGGGGAGAGGAAGAGAAAGAGATTGACTTCTAAACATCCTGCCAGTCGGGGGGTGCAGCCACCAGCAGCAGTGGTGTGGTGGATGCAGGACTGGCAGGGACAGGGGTGGGCACAAAGGTGGGTGTGCTCAGTCCTGCAGGAGGAGCTTTAAGGAGTCGGGGGAGTTGACTTTGTAGAGGAGGAGGCATCCTGTTCTATGAGAAGCTGATTCTGTGCCCCTGATGCCATTAGCTTCCACTGTTGCAGTAGCCCCAGGGCAGCTGATTCTCTCTCAGGCTCCGAGCTTCCCCAGGATGAGGCCAATGTCCAGTCGTTGTTCTGTCCCTAGAGCCTGGCTCAGGGCTTGCTCCAGAGATGACGCTTGTAGAACATTCCTGGGTAAGGGAAGGTGGGGAGGGCGTGGTTGGCTCCCTGGCAGAGGGCCCTGTGCCCCGCTAGCGCCCCACAGGGTTGAGGCAGAGCATGGCTCTCACAGGAGCTGTATGTTGCCCAGGTGGTGTGGATCACAGCCACGCTGCCTTACCTGGTGCTGTTCGTGCTCCTGGTTCACGGCATCACGCTGCCTGGCGCCTCCAACGGCATCAACGCCTACCTGCACATTGACTTCTACCGCCTAAAAGAGGCCACGGTCAGTGCCCAGTGAATGCCCAGCCTTGGGCTGCCTTGGGTGAGGGTTCTCAGGGGCGGGTGGGTATGGAAAACTGGGGCCCAGCTCTGCCATAAACTTGCGCTATAGCCTAGGATAGGATCCTTCTTTGTCTGACTGTTAGTTTCCTCATCTGGCTGATGCTGATTTGCACCTGACAGGCCCCACCAGCCCATACAGAGCTGATGGTCCCATGTGGTGGCCTTCACGGACTGCTCTTTGGAAGAAGAGAAGCACGCGGTGAAGGGGATTCAGTGTCCTGAGTCCTCACTCCTGTCCTGTGCCCACAGCTCCCTAGCTCACCCCAGACCTACCTCTGCTTTCTGTTCTCTAACCCTGACCTTTGCCCCCATCCCATGATGTTGGCATAAGGTGTAACCTCAGTCACCAGGGAGACCTGGACCTGCCAAGCTGCCCCCAACAGCCTCCTCTAGCTGCTGTCCTGCCCAGAGGCCTAAATTACTATAAAAATGGGGGAGGGAGTGCCTAGGGCTTCCCGTCTTTGGTTCACATTTCCTGAGGTCTCAGAGCATCTCCAGGGGTTCCCAGCCCTTCCAGAGCATCCAGAAGGTTATAGGATGCTGTAGGAAGCGGAGGGTGAAGGCTTCTATCTGCTGGCTACAGGTGTGGATCGATGCTGCAACTCAGATATTTTTTTCCTTGGGGGCTGGATTCGGAGTCTTGATTGCATTTGCCAGTTACAACAAATTTGACAACAACTGTTACAGGTAAGGTCTTCCTCAGAGCGCTGGGAAGTTTCAAATTCTGGAGGTCAACCACTGGGAGAATAGGAGAGAGAGTACTGGTCTGGGAGCCAACTCTCCTTGGACAAGCCAAATTTTCTCCTGTGGCCCATCCTGGGCACTCTATGAAGTCTGACACTCTCTCTGGGACTCCTGAGTAACACATTTAATTTCAAGATGCCTCTTGCACAGATGAAAAGTGTAGAGTGGGGAGAACCGAGGCTGCTGGCCCTGGAGGGTCATGAGGAGGGGTGGCTGGGGCAGAGGAGCACTGTGTGGTTGTCTAAGCAGACAGTACTGCCTGACTATGCCTGTCTGATGCTCAGAGGGGGCAGGGTCGAATGTCCAAGCTGGTGAGGGCCTGGCAGGGTCAGAGGTAAGACTGCAGGGCATCTGGGAATCAGGTCATGCCCTAGCGCAGTTCTGTAGCATTGAATGCTACCTCCCGCAGACCCAGCGCTGTGGGGACTTCAGACAAGGGCACACATTTGGGTCAACCTACCTCACTCTCTCTAGGCCAATTAAGGCTTAAAGCAGAATCACAGTATTTCAGTAGGAGAGAGTATCATGATTGTGTGCCAGTGGTATGAATCACAGGGAGGTAGGGGAATGGGGTGATTGTCAAGAGCATACAGGAGAGTTTGAGGTGCCCCTGGAGGACAGTTAGGATTACACTGGGCAGATGCGGAGTGGGCAGCATGCATGTGGGCCAGCATGGACAGAGGCAGGAGGGGTGTGTTTCTGGACCAGCAGATTGGCTGGTTTGATTTGTTAAAAGAGTAATGTTGAGGGTCATGGAAGATAAGTCTAGAAGGAAGGTTGGGTCCTCTTAGCAAAGCTCTTGAATGCCAGAGTGAGGAGTTGGGAGGCACTGTAGAGACATAGAAAGTTTGTTGAAGAAGGAGGCTGGTGGCTTGATTCTGTAATGAGAGTTTTCCAAAAGACTCTGATATCAGATTGTTCCAGCCATAATCAGTTGGCCCACTCTCTGCACCAGTGATGGTGGGTTTGGGGGGCCATGTGGCATTGCAGCAACTGAAGGGGGCATGGCATTCAGGTCGAGTCTGGTCTACAGGCTCCACAGATGGTCTGCTGGGCCATAGGCAGGGTTAGGGGAAATCAGGGGACTTGAACTGACAGCGCTTCTTCCCCAGGGATGCCCTGCTGACCAGCAGCATCAACTGTATCACCAGCTTTGTCTCTGGGTTTGCCATCTTCTCCATCCTTGGTTACATGGCCCATGAGCACAAGGTCAACATCGAGGATGTGGCCACTGAAGGTGAGTGTGCAGGCCACCTTGACCCCCCACCCTTGGCTCACAGCTCCTCTGTACCTGTAGATTCCCAGGCTCTCAGTGGAGGTCTCCAAACTGTCCATTAGATGGACTTTCCCTCGAGGCTGTCTGTGGGAATTCCAGGCAGTCCTGGGCCTGGGGTTAATAGCAGAACCTTCCCTGAGCCAGGCTTAGGGAGAGTCCACTCTGTCCCAGCCCCTGGGCATCTCTCCAGTTCTCACAAGGCTACCAGGAAAGTGTCTATGGACTCACGTAAAAACTGACACTCAGGTTAAATAAGTTGTCCAGCGTCACCCAGTTGTCCAGGCAGTGAGTGATGCATTCAAACCCCAGTCAGCCTGATGCTGGAGCCTGTGCCCTTCCCTTCATTCTATGGACACAAAGAAGCTGAGACCTGGGGAGGGGCTGGCTCTCATGGACTCTGAGGACTGCAAGCTTTTGAGAATGAAAGCAGATTCCTCAGAGCATGGAAGGTGGGGTCCACTCCCTGAGCCTCCTGCTATCCAGGCGAGTCATTGGTCCCTCGCTTGGCTCTGTAAGGCCACCCTCCTTGATGTGCAGGTGACCTGTAAGTCTGTGCTGGCTTCGTCTGTCATCTGCAGACTGACCAAATGTCATAGGGCTGGGTTGGAGCTGATCGGACCTCAAATGCTTCCATGCCATCTGTGGTTCAGGCCAATCATCTCAGCCATTGATAAGGTCCTTGATATTTCTTTCAGGAGCTGGCTTAGTGTTCATCCTGTACCCAGAAGCCATCTCTACTCTGTCTGGATCTACATTCTGGGCTGTTGTGTTTTTCATCATGCTCCTGGCCCTGGGCCTTGACAGCTCAGTGAGTGACGCTGCTCAGAATACCTGCCCCCACCCCACTGGGCCTCAATCACCTGCACCCCACAATGTGTACATGCC